GTCATGTCATGTGGAGAAGATGAGGTCCAGAGCTAGGAAGGGAATATTTACCAGTTATGTTTTTTTGTAGAGAGAAAGAAACTTTCCAAAACAGGTTGGTCAGACCATGTCACATGCCAAAACATGAACCCAATCACTGAGCAAGGTAGGTGAACGGAATCTTCATAATTGATTCACCTAGTCAGGTTGTACTCCCTAGGGCTGAAAAGGGGTCCAGCCTGCCCTCAAGCATGTGGGCACTCACAAGAGGGTAAACAAATCAAAGGGAAAGGGGAAAGGTCAATTTTGCAAACAACAGGGATTATCTGTCACATCAAGGAATCTATTGTTTTTTTCATAGCTCACCTCCCCACCTCACTGGGTAAGAACTAGACTAGAGGTCCTCTCTAAGATCCCTCCTCCAGCTAAAATTCCATGATGCTAAGATAACAGTATTACCCCCACTTAATGGAAAAGTCAACAAGAAAGTCACAGTACATCCCCCAAACCCATTCCAAGAGTTTAAGGAGGACAACTCTGATTTTGTCCACATCATTAAGTCATGGGAAGGAGATGGTGTCTGTACTAGCAGCCTCCAAATTGGAGTGTACCATCCATATGAAGTGTGACAATTATGGAGTCTGGCTTGGGAAGAAAATATTAGAGTTTCTATTTATATTTTTATATCATCCTCTTTTAATTTTATGTGTATTTTTTACAATGTACAGGCACATTAGTAGGGTAGTCCATGTATAGAATTGACAGCTATGTAGAAAGAGAAGATGTAGGGTGATGAATCTTCCTCTTATAGGAGGCTCAGTTAATAGTTTTCAAAGCATAGTAAGGCCCTGGTTTCAATCCCTAGCAGCACATAATAAAAATAACAACAAGACCAAAAAAAAAAAAAAAATAACTTTCACAGTGACTAGTATTAGAACATACTAGAATTTTGGTGACTTCAACCATATCACAGAACATGAAGAAGAAAAAAATACATGAAGAAACTGACAGAACTGGATTTGTGATTTCCCAATACTGATAGAAGCCGGGCAGCTCTGAGTCCAGACCCAATTTGCAACAAAGCAGAGAGTCCCAGCATGATTTTAATTTGTTGATCCTTTCAGGCTCTTAATTTTGTTTGTCAGAAGAGGACTTCTATCACTGTTTTCCTCCCCCACTCCCACCCCCAAGCCCTTCAAAGTTCTCCTATTTTAAGAAGTAAGTGTGAGGCTTGGCCTATCTGGAGCAACAAAATGCAGCTTACCAGGGCAATCAGGAAGTCAGAATGCTTTGTGAGTTCCCACAGTTTTTGTTCATTCAATTAACAATCTTGCCTCTAAGTGCAAGACAGGATGAGAGAAAGAGATTCCAAGACTGCTGGAGTCCAGTGTCTAAAAGGAAGACTCCCCAGTCTAAAGAGATACTGATGAGAAAGTGGTAAAATGAGCATTTGGTGTTACAGCAGAAGAAGGCAAAAAGCAGTCCACTTAGGGGTAAGTCAGGAAATCAGAGTTGGATTGGAGTGCGTGCCAAGAACCCCTGCAGAAAGAAATGGCTCCCAAACCTTCACTGAATCCTGAAGGACACAGGAGCAGGTCAAGTATTGTGTTTCTTTCATGAGAAGGGGGAAAAAAATGGCGAGACCTTGGACTCTCTACCTGATTAAGGAGACACCTGTGGGCAGAGCAGAGGGGTCTCTTTTTCCTTCAGTATACCTTATCTCTTTCTCCCTCCAGTTCAAGTGACTCTGAAGGTATGTTCTGGGTGTGGACCTTAACTCAGTGGAATGCTGCTTTCCCTGGACACACCAGCTGCCCATCCCAGTGCACCTAAGGACAAGGGAATGCACACTCCCACAGCTGCCCAGGAGCTTAAAGGCAATTGTGTTTCCCAGGACCTTTGCAAAAGGAGAAATAAATAATATGGCAATGGTTTGAGGGATATAAAGGAGTGGGGCATGAAAATGTAGACTTCCATCCTGTTTAACCCCACGTACATGTCACTTAGGTTTAAAAGGAGTTCTTCAATGAATATAATCACAAAATCTGCTATAAGCTAATCATAACCTAACCTAAATTCATTTCAAAGAGTCCACACTTTTAAGCTCCACCTGGAAGAAAGACTGAATTTTTTGCTCAGAAAGAGTTGTTTTCCTTCTACCCTCTTCCTTTCTCCCACACTTCTTTCTTTCCAGTGCTTAGACACAGGCTTTCTTCCTGAATTCATTATGTCTGGGCAGTGCAGAAAGGGTATCTATGTTGTGACTCAGCATAAGAGCTCTCTAAGCCATTGTTTTGCTACTTTCTGAAGAAACATGGCAAGATTGCTTAATCGCTCCTTTCCAAAGCGTTGAAGCAAAGGAAGCAAGGACTCTGGAGATAGAAGGGCAAGATTAGAGCGCTGTCAGAAACAGAGAAAATAACTTTTTGTAAGAAAAACAACGATTTTACCATCAAAATAGGAACTCCTTCAAAGCACTGTGATGATTAGTCCTTGTCAGTTAAGACATAGGAAGAGAAGGGATGGAATGGGAGAGAAGTTAATCTATATCCAGAATTGTTTAATTAGATGGTTAACAACAAAGAAAAAAAATAGCCTTAACAGCCAACTTTTGTGTGTTGTTCAAGTTGAGCAAGGAAACCGGAATTTGAATTTAAGTTGCAGGGGCCAGCATGCCATCCCAAACTTGGTGTACTCTAACGGTAGCAGCCAGGGGTCATTCTGGAGCCTTCTTTCACTATACACATTAGCAATATTATCTTCTCCAAAAGCAAGGTTAATTTTTTAATGAATGTAAAAGTTTTAATGCAAATGCTCAGGCAAGTTTACCTCAATTTATAAAGGTTTCTGCCCATAATGTAGGACCTACGTTATTTACAAAAGTCTAGATTCACACCTCTGAATGGAGAGCTCCTCTTCCTTCTTATTGGTTTTACCTCTTTCTTCTGTCTAATATGCTTCCAAACCAACTTTAAAAAGACAAAGATAGGCAGGCATGGTGGCACACACCTGTAATTCCAATGGCTCTGGAGGCTGAGGCAGGAGGATAAAAAGTTCAAACCAGCCTCAGCAACTCAGTGAGGCCCTAAACAACTTAGTGAAAGCCTGTCTCAAAATAAAAAATAAAAAGGTCTGGGGATGTGGCTCAGTGGTTAAGCACTCCTGGGTTCAATTTCCAGTATCAAAAAAAAAAAAAAAAAATGCAAAATAGATGCAAGGAAAACAACACCAGGGGCCAGCTTGGCAATTTCTTTGATAATTGTGAAGAATAAGGAAAAATTAAACATATGCAGTACTATATAATGCAGAGGGGACAGCACGTAAGGCAACCCTCTGAAGACTCAGGACTTGAATACAAACATCTCAGCCTCTGTCATGCCTCTCTCTGCAAGAAACACATTTTCATCTGCTGCTAAAACTCTGACTTATTTACCTGGTTGATTAAAACAATTTTTTTCTTTTTTAATCTAAAGCAAACATGGATGTTGACTGCCTCTCTGAGGAGAATCCATCTTGGCAACCATTGCTGAGGCAGGCCAGAGCAACAGTTCAAAGGAGTCTCCATCCTGGAGGCCCAGGCTCCCTTCAGTGCTATCCCATGTACCTCACCAAGTTTTACAGATTAAATGAGACCATGTTGTTCTTCATTGACCTTTTCATTCCTTTCTTTGACTGTAGCCAAAAAATGTGAAGCTGATGTCAAAAAGAAAAGAGGATGGGGTGAGCCCATTGTAAATGTGTTTTCAATTTTATACATTTCTTCAAGGCTATGTGAAAAACCAGCCTCTACCTCAGAGCAAAGCCTGTCCAAGGAAGGGACATCACCTTTGATCTTGGGAAAACCCACAGAGCACTCCTAGGCACATTCCCACCCTGCTAAGTTGTTTATCTACAAATAACAGGAGAGATCTGCTGCACCAGGTGTCCCTGACTCAGTCAGGCTAGGTGGGGATCCATAGCAGCCCCCTAGCAGCCACCAATCAGCATGAGCCAGGGAAATACCTGGGATGCCAGATGACCCTCCCAGTAGTTTATGGTGTTGGGAAACCACATAGTTCAGCACGAACACCCCTCTTGGCTTAAACCAATCAGTTCAAATGAATCCCCCTCTTGTAGTAACCAATCACCACTACCCAACTTGTTCCTGCCAGTGAATGTGCTAATCATGTTTTAGAGTTGTTATTTGATTTTCCCGCAGTGTGTGATGATTTGCTAAGAGATGCTATGATGTATGTGGGGGTCCCTGCCTTCTCCAAAGAATGTATAAAACTGCTGCAAACCCTGGGTTCTGGGCCTCTCAGCGTCACCAGTTGCTGTGTGTGCATGCGGAGGACCGAGCTAGCTCGCAATAAACACCTCTTTGCTGTTTACATCGATCTTAGTCTCTGGTGGTCTTTTGGGGGTCCCGAATTCGAGCATAACATATGTCTTTAAGGTGGACTTCGGTTTACAAACATAACCAAGGGATTCTGATAATCTCAGATTTTAATCAACTCTTTGCTTTCCGTTGTAAATTTTTTTTGGCTAGTGCTTCCTTTTTTAAAAATTATTGCTCTATTTATTTCTTTGAAACTATATAAATGTAATGGAAATGGAAATATGTAAATGTCAAAGTTCTGGGCAATTTTTTTCTTCCTGTTTCTCCCTTAGATCGATCTTCCACCTTTTTTCACTGTGGTCTCTAAAAAACTGTCACCAATTTTAAAAGGCCAATTAAAAAAATAAATAAATACAACTGTCATTGCTCAAAAATAAAAAAATAAAAAGTTAAAATTTAGGAAATTGTTTCTTAAGTTGTAGTTTTCTGGGCCCTGTTACAGCTGAATTCACCAGGCTGCAACTCTCCAGCTAGGACTGCTGACCACAAGGTATGCAAAATGTTCCTCCATGTTACACTCATCCTTGTGGCCAGACCACCTGACAAGTTGGATTTAAACAAGATGGGCAGAAACTCTGAAGTTCTAGGCAACATGTGACTCAAAGCAAATGCATTCAGGTGTGTCTTTTTATTCAGCTCGTCATTTCCATTGCAAAAGGTTTGAGAATTGTCGTGGTGGAGTTGTCATTGCTGATAGTACAAAGGAGTCTCCAGAGGTTCTTCATCCCAGAGATAAGAAAGGTCCCAAAGAAACTCACTCTCGGAAACACAGGATGTCCATCTCCCTTCGATCACAGGCACAAAAGGATCATTAGAAACAAACCAAGCCACCAAAAAAAAAAAAAAAAAACCAATTCAGAAGAGATATACTGGAGATCACTATATAATCGTAGGATATGAAGAAAAGGTTATCAAGAAATAAGATGTAAACTACTGCAAAAATGTGTGTTTTCTGAAGATCAAGGGAGGGTGCAGAACTTTCTCTTCTGTATATAGAGATTTAAACACAAGTTCAGAGTTGAGCTGGAAAATTGCAGTTCAGGGTAAGATAAAATTGAAACACTGACATCCTTCAACCTAGAGGAAGGGAGGTGCTCTTTTGAGCACATCTAGCAGACATATGTGGGGTCATCTTAATTATAATAGCAGCCAACATATTTGGAGTACCAATTATGTGCCAGACCCAATTTGCCCAGTGAAGTATTATGTGAAGTTGGCAGGTGACAAAACTACAGCTCAGGGGGATTAAGTAACTATTCAGTGAACTGTGCAGCTGGAATTTGAACCTGAGTCTGACCTCAAAGCCACCTTGGACTACTTCAGTATGCTCTCCCTTTAAAAAAAAACTTGGCTGGGTGAGGCTCATGACTACCCTCCCTGGCTAACATCCCTCTTGTGGGTTGGATCCACTTCTCTCTTTAGGAGTTGTTAATAATCATTCTTAATAATTTGTTACACACTGGGAAAGGTATTATATATCCTGCCACTTTTACTCTTGAGGTACTAAGGCCATGGGTTTGTTACTAAATGAGTTTAGCTCTAACTCCTTTTTGTATCCTAAATTTCCTTTGTTAGATTATTTCATGAATCATAATGCTGGTGCAAATGTGTTCTAATTATAAGCCAATAGGACAGTGCTGGTTTGGGCTTTTCTATACCCTTCCTAGTGCTCTGTTTTTGTTTGGTTTCTTTTCTCCTGAAAGAGTTCCCTCATTGAGCCATGTTCCCTCGCTGAGCAATGTTCTAGATCTTTAAGTTTCTTTCTTGATTTCTATTCCTTTCATCCTCCATGGATTTGATGAGGCCCCATAGGGAGTAGTAAGGCACATAAGTTCTGAGTCAGACTCCCTAGGTAAATCAGCTCCACCATTTACTATTTGGGCAAGTTAACCTCTCACCATCATTAATGAAATGAAAATAATAATGCAGCGATTTCATACAGTGCTTATAAGGCTAAGTAAAATAATGGTTGCCAAGTGCTTAGAATGGCAGCTGATACAAAGTAAGCTCTTAATAAACATTAGTTTTTGCTGCTACCTGAAACCTCTCAAATGTTCTAGTTGCTATTTTTATTCCCATTTATACAGATTTGCTAATTTCCTGCATTTATCATTTTAGCTTGCTTTCCAAACTGCCCACTCCCCACTCCCCCGGAAAAAAATTTGTGTCACTCACAAATTTAAGAGTTTGCTCTATATTTTATCCTAGAACAAAAGTCACTTATAAAGAACCTGGTTAAAACAAGAACTTGAACACTATTAACTTTTTATTTCTCCATAGTGAAATTGTCTATTTACCATTCCCTTCATTTCCTGTTTTTAAGTTGGGTTCCCCAATTTTGACTAATCATTCTCCTTTCCTAGTGAGAAAATTACTAGGATGTTCCACGGAAAATTAAATTATCAAATACATTATGCAAATCTACATATACTGTACCCAGTTTTCTTTATATTGGCTTGCAAATTTGTATCAGAAGGCAAAGTAATTATTTAGAGGTCATAATTGCCTATTAAAGAAATCTTTTCTACATATAAGCTTTTGATGATTCTAGTTTTTATAGTCTGCCTAAACAGGGGAAAGCCTGAGATTATCATCTCTTGAGTCTGTGATAGATTTCTTCTGGGTTCTGATTCTGAATTATTGGTATAAATTATAATTTATTTGATATTACAGATCTGGCTAAGCAGTTCCCCAATTCCTTCAATAAGTTCCTTCAAATCTCTAGAGTCCCTTTTGCTAACTCAGTCTTCTCATCACTGATCAGTTTATACAGCTCAGTTTAAGGCAGAACAAGTAAAGTAGTTTGATTTCATCTAGGCAAAGAATAGAGGGATGGAAAAGACACCCTAAGAAAAACATCATCCAAAGAATTCCTTAACTTTTTTAAAAAAGACACGGTTTTAGATAGAGCAGCCATAAGTTGATAGCAAAATTGAGAGGAAAATACAGAGATTTTCCTTATATCCCCTGCCATCACACATGCAAAGCACCCCCTCTATTATCAACATCCTCTGTCAGACTAGTACATGTTTTACAACTGAGGAACCTACCTTGTGCCTCATTATGGCCCAGAGTCCATAGTTCACATTAGGGTTCACTGGGTGGTATATATTCTGTAGGCTTAGACATTGAATAATAGCCTGCCTCCACCATTATAGTATCATACAGAGTATTTTCACTGCTTTAAAAATCCTCTGTGCTCTACCTGTTCATTCCTCACTTTCCTCTAAGCCTTGAGAACCATTCATCTTTTTCAGTCTCCATAGTTTACTTTTTCCAGAATGTTCTATAGTGAGAAAAATATAGTATGTCACCTTTTAGAGTCCTTTCTTTCACACAGTAGTTTGCATTCAGGTCCTTCATATCCTTTCATGGCTGGATGGTTCATTTCTTATTAGCACTGAATGATATTCTGTTGTCTGGATGTGCCACAGTGCCTCCATTCATCTACTGAAGGACATCTTGGCTGCTTCCAAGTTGGGCAGTTATAAAGCTGCTATGTGAACATCTGCTTGCAGATTCCTATGTGAGCTTTCCTTGGATCTTTTCAGGGACCAAGCTAGTAATGAATTTGAGGTCTTCTTACCTACTAACCTTTATCACACCCCACAAATGTTGCTTACTTAATCATCCACTTAGCACTTATTGGGGCTGGATGCAGTGCTAGGGGCTGAAGATTCACACAGGAAAGAAAAATAAACACCAACCTTCACAGAGCTCAAATTCCAGTAGAGAAGCACAGACAAGGAAGAAGAAATCAAATCATTTTGAGAGTGTTGGTGATTAATTGCTATGAATAATTATCAGGGAAAATAATATAGAAAACAAATATTCCTGGTTAGGGAAGTCTACCATAAGTCTTGAACTTGGAAATGTTGTCTCCACTGATCACCAAAGGACTTTTGACCTGATAGGCTCTCTAGGTCATAAGACAAGGAACAGCAACATTGAGTAAAAGACTTAAATGGTACGTTAAAATCTCTGTGGCTGAGCGGCATTAGAGTATGCAAGTATCTGGGCGCCATAACAAAATACCATTATCCCAGTGTCTTAAAAATCAGGAATATATTTCTCACAGTTCTGGAGGTTAGAAAGCCCAAGATCAAGATGCCTGCCAATTCAGTTGCCTAGCAGGGTCCTTTCCTGGCTTGTGAATGGCTGTCTTCTTGCTGTGCCCTCCTGTAAAAGAGAGAATGAAAGCCCTGGTCTCTCTTTCCCTTCTCATAAGAACATTAATCTCATCATGAAGGGCCCACTCTTGTGACTAAATCTAGGTCTAATTATCTCCCAAAGGCCCACTTGCAAATACCATCACATTGCAAGTTAGAATTGACACTTGTGAATTGGGGGAGGGGAGGGACAAACATTCAGTCCACAACAGCAGATGTGAACCTCCTGCCAGTACATGCTTAGAAATGCTTTGTCCTGTCTCTAAATAATGCTTTGTGGAGGTCAAAGATTTCACATTACAGTCAGTGGTCTGGTTCCAGTGGTGAAGGCAGCCTTTGCCTCTCCCCCAGGACTCCTCAATGGAAGCACACAGATGTATCTCCAGTGTTGCCCAGCCTTGACTACCAATGTACTACTGTCCCAATTTTCTGTGAAAAATTCTTTATCACATCCAGCCATATTAGTTGCTACACATAGTTTCTCTTTTAATATTGCAATGAGGAGCATTACTCTCAAAAAGATTCATTACATGACAAGAAGAGAAAATATTTAATAGTGTGTTTCAATGAACTTTAATACAATTGCAAAGCAATTCAAAAGCCTATTCATGCTAATCCTAAAAAATACTAATCTGGGTCAGACACATTGCTGCACTTTAAATATAATAAGGGAAAAAAGTAAAACCTATATACGTGGATATTTATTGGCTTTGATTTGTAGGTGCCTACAGAGTTGTGAGGAATGTTTAGTGCTACAGATCAGCTTCATTCTTTGTAAACTCTGATGGATAAACCCATATTCAAAAAGAATGTCCTTTAAAAGAATACTTATAACTAGACATAGTGTCACATGCTTGTTGAAACAAAAGGATTGCAAGTTCCAGGCCAGACTCAGCAACTTAACAAGACTATGACCCAAAATAAAAATGAAAAGGGCTGGAGATGTAGCTAAATGGCAGACCACTTCTGTATTCAATACCCAGTATCTCCCCCTCAAAAAAAAGAAAGAAAAAATATATTTTTTCTCTCTTCAGTCATTTTCAGAACTATAGACATGAACTAAAAATAATGCCAAAATTTTACTCTTGGAGAGTGGACAGGTAGTAGCATATGGATGATATAGACCAGTTATTAATGACAACCCAATATGACAGGGTGTTACAAATGGAAAATTATATGTCCTCCTATCTAAAGCTTCAGAAACTTTTGATGATCCTTATGTAAAGAGGGATTCTAAAATAGGTGCTGTAGCTGAATTCGGTGGTGTCACCTTTAATCCCAGTGGCTTGGGAGGCTAAGACAGGAGGATCATGAGTTCAAACCAGTCTCAGCAACTTAGCAAGGCACTAAGCAGCTTGGTGGGATACTGTCTCTAAATGAAATACAAAAGAGGGCTGAGAATGTAGCTCAGTGGTTAAGTGCCCCTTAGTTCAATGCCTGGTACTAAATAAAATGAAATAAAATAAAATAGATGCTGTAAGTCTAATTAATGTCAAATTAAAAGAACTGGACTATATATAACCAAATCAAGATGTGTACAAAAAAGAAAACTTGAACAAGTAAAAATGTAGCTGGTAATTGACAGATCACGTGACAACTTCTGATGCCTCATGGTT